TACACATCAGCATCACGTCTAAGTTGCTTTTCCATTTTTCAGCTTTGATTCTCTGTCACTGAGGAAATATTGATTTAACTGAGAAATGAGATTTGAAATGATTTATTCAGTCTGTCAGGGATGGGAAAGGTTTTTCCTGCCACAGTTCAAGGAAAGACCCGAAGACTGAGAGCACAGGATGAAAGGATGGTTTTCATATCAAGAAAACAGGAAGTGCTGCACTGAAGCAGCAGGAAAACCAGAGTCGTCCAAATGTGAGGAGCCAGAACCGAACACAGGAGCGGCATCGGCCGTGTCATGTTCTGGTGGACGTGGACACTCATTTGGAAGTCAAGCTCAAATATCTGACAGCCTTATTTTCGCTTCAAATCTTCTTTCTTACCTCAAACATGTTTCTTAGTCACACTTTAACAACAGTAAACATGTCATCGTGTACCTCACTCTGCAGCTCAGACAGCTGTTTGGCCAGCTGTGTCTCTGTGGTCTCTGGGAGCTGATGGTACAAACTGCTCTGAATCTTCTGCTTCAGACCTTCTTTATATTTCACCTGCAGGAGACAAGACGAGGATGAGTTCAACATTAAAGCAAACACAGTTTAAAGACGGCTGAAGAACAACACAATGATCTGTCTAACAGTCTTATTTACCTCACTCTGCAGGTCTGACAGCTGCTTGGCGTGCTGCGTGTCGATGGTCTCGGGCAGCAGAGAGTACAGGCTGATGTTCATCTCCTTCTTACCGTCTTCTTTATACTTCACCTGTGATCACAGCAAAGTTCATCCACACAGAAAAGACTTCTACAAAAATCTGCACGTTTCTCCTGAAATGATCCCAAATGTTACTGAAATAACTCAAACTACAAAATATTATTTCATTAAATAAGTCCAAAAACTCTCCACCTACAGATGTCATTCATTTATTTCTCTGGCTTTGTGACACTTCCTGTACCTCGCTGCACAGCTCCGACACCTCCCTGGCGCGAGCCGTCTCCAGCGTTTCCGGGAGCAGAGAGTACAGAGACGAGTTCACGCCCTTCTTCCCCGACTCTTTGTAGCGCCGCTGCAAACAAAGACAAACGTTAATCCAGCGTCAGCTCATAAAAGCCTTCAAACACGAACGAGCATGAAATATAAACGTGCAGTAAAAGTCCACGTCTGTGCTCACAGGTACAACCTACAAAACTGTCGGGAAGCTAACTCCAGGTATCTATGTGCAGCTTTCAAAGGTCTAAAGACAAATACATGTTTCTGAGTGATTAAAAAGAGAAATCCAAGAGCAAAAGGTGCAAAATTATGTGCAGAGGTCCAGATAAATAAACGATCGCCCTCCTCACAGCTGACCTGAATTAACACTGTTGGTAATTACCAAAATCATTTTTTTAAACATTATGTTTATTGACTTTTATATTACAGAACAAGCAAAGAATAATAGTACAGTTAACAGGAGATTTATATTAAAGAGCATAGACCCAAAATAAACAAATATAAATGAAAAGAAACAATAATAATAATAAAAAAAATAAATAAATAATAAAATAAAACAAAACCGATGCACAGCATGGGTAAAACAAACGAAGCAAGACGCAAACGAAAAATAAAAACAACAAAAAAAAAAAAAACGCACACACACAAAAACCCCCAAAACTCAGCACCAAGTATCACTTTCTAAATTAATTCCCTTCATAATGTCTCAGAAACGCAGTTAAAGGTAACCATACCAAAATCATTTGAATGTTTCTGTAATTGTTAATCCATCAGCCTTCACAAACACTTTCATTAAAATCATATTTTTATTATTATTGTTCATCCAGGAAGTAAAGCAAGTTAGTTTAACCTCCTAGGATCTGGCGTCCTCATCACATTTGGGTTATTTAGACCAAAACACTCAATTTTGCTCTACAAGGGCCTGATATTCACTTACGAGGACATCACACTGCTATTGTTCTATCAAAAATTTAAACGAATATCCTCATATGTGGATCTGATTTCTCATAAAAACAAAAATAAGGTAAATTCTTTGTTTTTACAGAGAAATTAAAAATGCTGCCGTGGAAGAGTTCAGGTCTTAAGATGACGTGAGAGTAACTCTGTATTTACTGAACAGTTTGTTTCAGTGGTCGATTGTTATGCTTGATTCTGACACACAGAGGTCCAGTGTGAAGACCAAACTGAGACTTCAGTTTATTACATGTGTCATAAACAACAACATCGTTTTCAGTTTTAAACAACTTTGTGACTGATTCCTAAAATATTTGTGTTTCCTCATTTTAATGACAGGTGGGCTAATAAATGGTTCATCTCTGCACCAACTGATTTATGTGAAACGTTCAAATAATCTGCACCAAGAAAAAGCTGAAAGAGGAAAGTGTGCGACAGCGTGGACCTTCCCACTGGTGTTTATTCCACCCATATAGACAGACACAGACACTTTAAAGGGTGCAGTGAGCAGCGTTACAGGAATAAAGCTTTAATGCTGGTTTCTGTAAAGCCACAGCGGCACCACCTCAGGGGACAAACTCCACCCATGATCATACAATGAGGCGCTTTATTTTCCCACAGCGTCCACGTGAAACAACTAATTTTCCCTTTTTATAACTAATTACACACGAGTTGTGATTGTATCTGCACACGAGGCTGCGAGGCTGGCTCACCTCGCTCTGCAGCTCAGCAACTGCTTTAGCAAACTGGGTGTCGGCGGTTTCTGGGAGCTGAGAGTAGAAACTCTGGGAGAGGCTCCTCCTGCCGCCCTCTTTGTACTTACTCTGAGGGGAGACAACACAAAACAATCCATCAGATGTTCATGGTGGACGTGTGAGTCACTAATGTAAAAACACAGAACAACTTGTTGTTTTCAACCATCTCTGAGTTTTTAATGTTTATATGAATCTATCAAAGGAAACTTCTTCTTCTGCTCCTCATTCAACGCTGTGAAAACAAACGGGAACTTTCAGGTCTCGAGAATATTTCTGACACTTTGCTGCCGACAGCACGAGCGCTTGTGGGGAGTTTCAGCCTGTTTGCACACAGTGTGTTGTAAAGGTGCGCCTGTGTCGTACCTCGCTGTGCATCTCAGTCATCTCTCTGGCAAACTGGATCTCTGTGGTGTCGGGCAGCTGCGAGTAGAGAGAGGCGGGAGCTCCTCTGACCATCGTCTTAGGGCGATAATTCACCTGGGAGAGAGCGATGATGAGAGGCGGAGCTCAGGGACAAAACAGAGACGACGACAGCAAAGAACAGAACGATTTCAGAAAAGAGCATCTGCTCGAACTCTGAGCTGCTCGTTCAGGAACGCCCAGGATGGCTGCGAGTCCTTCCTTCCTTCTGTCCTTCTTTCCTTCCTTCCTTCCTTCTTTCCATCCTTCCTTCCTTCCGTCCTTCCTTCCTCTCTCCTTTCCTTACTGTTCCTTCTTTTGTTGCTCTGCTTTCTTTCCTCGTCTTTCCCATTCTCCTTTCCTTTCCTTTCATTCTTCTACTCGCCGTTTCCTTTCTTATGCCCTTCCTTCCTTCTGTCTTTCCATCCTTCCTTCCTTCTGTCCTTCCATCCTTCCTTCCTTCTGTCCTTCCTTCCTTCCTTCTGTCCTTCCATCCTTCCTTCCTTCTTTCCTCTCTCCTTTCCTTACTGTTCCTTCTTTTGTTGCTCTGCTTTCTTTCCTCGTCTTTCCCATTCTCCTTTCCTTTCCATCTTCTCCTCGCCGTTTCCTTTCCTATGCCCTTCCTTCCTTCTTTCTGTCTTTTTCATCCTTCCTTCCTCATCTATCTTTTTCTTCCTCTCTTAATTTATTTCTATCTTTATTTTACTTTCTCACTTCCTTTCTTCTTCTCTTACTTCCTTTCTTCTTTCCTCTCACCTGTTTCCTTCCTGTCTTTATTTCTTTTCCTTTTCTCTCTCTTTTTTCCTTTCTTCCTCTCACCCTTCCTCTTTCATTCTTCCTTCTATCTCTTTCTTCCTCTTTAGTTTCAGTCCCGTCTTTATTATTTTCTTCCACTTCCTTTCTTCTTCTCTCCCCTCCTCTTTTTTCTCTCTTGTCCTTTCCGTTCTTCCTTCTTTCCTTCCC